TCTCTTTCACTTCTTGGGTTACAGTGCAGGCGTGTGACGTCCGCCCCACATGACGGGGGGGCGGGCGCGAGAGGCGGGGGCGGCGGGCCAGGCCCTCCCCCACCTCTCCGCCCCTTCCCGCCCCGCCCACAGCCCTCCTCCTGCAAGCCCAGCAACAAGCGGCCGCCGCCCCCGCCCCCGGGGGTGGAGGGCGGGGCCTGCGGCGCGAGGGGCGGGGCCTGCGGCGCACCTCTCGCCCGAGCCTGCCAACCGCGTGGAAGTGAGTCGGTGGCCGCGGTCCGCAGGCGGCACGTCGGGCAGGTGTCTGGCCCTGCTACGGGGCCGACTTCCTCAGCAGCCTTCCAGAGTGACGCGTTCCCGCCCAGGGAGGGGGTGCGGGCCTGGGGCCCGGAACCCCCGAACTTCCCTGACCGGCCTGAGCGGCAGTACCCGCGGCGGCAACGTCGGTGGGGGAGGGGCCGCCCAAACTGCGAGGATACAGGCCGGGCTCTTTGCCCCAGGCTTCCCCCACTCCTCCTCCCGGGCGGGGTCCGGGGCCCTCCTGAGGTTTGGTCGCCCAGGCCAGGCCTCGCGCACAGGGAGGCGGCTTTACCGCTCCTCCATCCTCCCTGCTGTCGCAGGTGGCAGGACCCGAGCCAGGTGGGCCCCCGGGGCGTTCAGAGCCTTTTCTTTCCCACTCAGATGCAGCTGAGGGCGTGGGGGGTTCCTCCTGCTGCCTGTCCCTTGTGCCTGCATGGGTGGCCCTACAGAGTGGAAAATCGCAGGTCTGAATTATGAATAGACGTAGAGGTCATGGGGGCGAAGGCTGGGGTGCTTGGGTCCTGTGAGTCAGGTCTGGCACACACGTTTGTCCTGGGGCACAGGGAGTAATTGCCATGGTCGTGGGAACGTCCCCAGGGCTCTCTGGGGGTGGTCAGAGGCTGTGGAGAGGGGCTGGGAAAAGTGACACTTCCAAGTTGAAGGTCAGGTGAGTGAGCGCCAGTCACTTGGGCACAGAGGCTATGTGTAGGGGACCACTGCTGCTTAGGGTTCAGCACAGCCCTCCCTGCTCCCTGCTGCCTCCCACCTCCACATCCATGCTGGGCACACTCCTAGGGTGGCAGGCCCCCATACCCACCGGTCGCCACCCTTAGGTTGGGGACGGGCTGGGGACGCCTCAGGGTTGAGGTGTTGGCTGCTCTGTGGCCCCCGGGCCTGTTCAGCTAGCTGGGCAGTGGCTCAGCCTCTCCCCATCTCCTCCAGTCCGGGCTGGCTCGGAACTCACCCAGGGCCCTAGTCTGGGGTCTCCCTGGAAGCTCCTGGTAACAAACAGCCCCTCCCCTTCCAGGTGCTGGTAACCATGGAAACGGTATAAAGCCCTTCCGTCTCCAGGCCTGCTTGGAGCTCAGGCCTCAGGTGAGTGTTGGGAGTGGGGCCTTGGGTTGGCACCTCTGGGGTCATTTGCTCTAGGTTGAGGGCAAGGGTGGCAGGGAGGACACAACAGGGAAACGTTCCCTGGTGGGTGACCTGCTGCCTGGCCTGGTCAGAAACACACAGGTATGGACTCCCATGTGACCACAGTCTGGTGTCCTCTCAGGTAGACATGCCCACGTGTGGGCCTCCTCAGAGAGTGATGCCCTGCGAACTGGCAGTGCTGCCTGGATCTCTCCAACATGTATGTGTGTGTGTGTGTGTGTATGTGTGTGTGTGTGGCACCACACATGGAACACAGGGCAGACTCAGCCCCATCACCCTTCCCAGCTTCCCAGGAACATCAGGAATGGCCTCTGAGTCTGGCCAGGAGGCTGAGGGAGCCAAGGAGGAGGCACCCCTGTCGCTGGCAGATCAAGAGCCGGTCAGTGGTGACCTAGGGTCTCCAGCTGGCACACTGGCAGACCCCACAGTTCCCATGTGCCCACAGGACACCAAGCCCCACCCCACACGGGTGGTCTATCCTGTCAACTTGCAGTAAGGAGAGGCGGGAAGGGCAGTCAGCCTCCTGGGCAGGGCTGGCCTGAGAGCCAGGCCTGGTCACGCAGCAGGGGTGCTGGTATTGCAGGTTGGCCCCAGAGTCCCTGGACCCCTGCACCCTCCGGCTGCTGTGGGGACAGCGAGAACTGGAGATCCAGGCCTTGCGGTGGGCAGTCCAGAATGGCCAGAGCGCCCGGCACTGTCGCATCCTGCAGGAGGTGGTCAGCTTCCCCACCACTGCTGAGAGGTCAGCAGCAAAGACCCCAGCTCACCCCAGCCCCTGTCCTGGCCCTAGCTCTTGCATCCTCTCTGACCCCAACCCCAACCTCAGCCTGGGCCTGATCCTGGGTAAGTTAACGTGCCCTAACCCTAACCCCAACCCCAACCCCCAAGCATGACCCTTGCCCAGAGCTGGCAGGGCCTACCCTGGCCTGCAGTACTGTGTGCCCTCGGGCCAAGATGACAGTGGAGCCCGTCCTTGCCCCCTTCTTGGCCACTGATCTGGCCTCAGGAGCTCTTGCTTGACCCAGAGGCAGACTGCTGAGATTGCCCCCTCCAGGAGTTCCTGTCGTCAGGAAAAGCTCCTGCAGAACCAGGTCCGGAAGCTGACCCTGGAGCTAAAAGAGCAGAAGGCACAGGCCCAGCGGGTGAGGCGGGTGGGGTAAGGGAGATGGGCAGGGCACCGCTGGCTTGGGGTGAGCCAGGCTGGGGCTGGCCTGGGGTGGGGTCTGCAGAAGGCCCGGTGCCCCACCAACCCATGCCCCTCCCACCCCCCGCTGAGCAGGAGAAGGAGGACCTGGAGGAGCGGCTGCTGCAGACCACCAACATGCTGCAGCAGCTGGAGGCCGAGCTGCAGGCCTTCCAGAAGTCTTGCCTCCTGCGACTGGCTCAGTCCTCGTGGGTGGGCCGAATGCTTCGATCCCAGACTGGCAGTGTGGAGGTGAACCCACCCTGCCCTCCCTCCTACCTCCCAGCCCCCTCCAGCCCTCCTTGGACCTCCCTCAGGCTGGGCAGCCAGTGTGTCCCCCCTCCCGTCAGGTGCCTCTGCTGGGGTGCCTTGGCCTGCCTGGAGGCCTGTCCCCCATCAGACTGCCTCTGGGACCCTGGCCTCTGGCAGGGAAGAATCATGTGGCCTGTGGTCACACCCACCTGACACACAGGGCTGGTGAGGTCAAAGGGCAGAGGTGCTTTGGGGGAGGGGTGCCCTTCCCCCCAGCCCCTGCCCACTGGCCTCCAGTCCGCTCTTGCAGGTGGTGACAGCAGAGACCCTGATGGACCCCAGCGACTTCTCTGATGACCAGACTCCCCCTGCTGGGGAGGTGAGTTGGCCTTCCATGAGTGTGGTCAGGGCTCTGGAGCCCTGCAGGAGGGGAAGGCCAAATGCCTGTTATTTCCCTTCTAGAGTTTCCGGCTAGAGGATGTGGACTGGAACAGCATTGCCCACCGGTACCCCAACCTCTTCACCAACATGGAGTCCACCTCAGGGCACAAGTAACTGCACTGGGCGGGGACACCCTAGGGGCCAGGGGAAGGGAGGGCTTGCCTTGGCAGATGTAGACCACGTCCAAGTTGTCCCTGGACGAGTCTTAAACCATCCAAGCCTCAGTTCTCTGATCTGTAAAATGGGTTAGGGATGAAGGGAAAGGGGTCTGGGCATAAGCCAGGGTGCCCCACTGCCCTGGGGGGAGGCTGGCCGGGGGCAGGGCTAGGGGCCGGGAGCAGGAACAGCCAGCCAGCAGATCGTGGCCCGCAGGCATCCCCGGTCACCCCCACTGCCTGACACATGGGGCTTGGAGTCCCCTAGCAAGCGCATGGAGGGGCACCACAAGAGCGTCGAGTGGAGCACCCTGCCCAGCATGGGCACCAGCAGCTCGGGGGGCGCAGACTCTGACTCCAGCAGCGGCCAGCTGCATGTGCCTTTCCGCGTGCAGAAGGTGACCGGGCACCCACCCCAGTCGAGGAGCTTCGCTTCTGAGCAGATCCAGACTTGTCTGAGGAGCTTCGGCAGAGACTCGTCCTCGCGGCTGGAAGGTGGAGTAAAGCACGTCTCCCCTGTTACCCTTCACCCACCCTCCAGGTCTCCGCCCAGAGTCCTATAGAGCTGTTCTTCAGCCGCAGGGTCCAGCCACCACTCCTGCCTGGGAGCTGACCCGTGGCCCTTCTCCCTTCCCAGGATGACCTGCAGGGGCTGCAGGTCTGCTCTGGCCTCATGTGGGACGTTCCCATTGCTTGTACCATATGGGGGTTCCCTCCCCTAAAGGGCTCCTCTCTCTAGATTTGCAGAAAACCCACTCTGACCAGCCTAGCAAGACCGTCGCGACGTCCGAGCCCAGCGCAGACGCCGAGCAGCAGCATTTCGGACCTGGGCCGAGGTGAGGGGGCGACCCCAGCCTGGGCTCCTAGCCGGCCAGGAGCTGGCAGCTGTTCGTGGGTGCGGGTCGTGCGTCTCGGCACAGCGCTCCCCTCCCTGCCGCAGCCCGACTGGCTACTGCCTGAAGATCGTGGAGGTGAGCCGCCGAGAGAAGTTCGTCCGCATCCTCAACCAGTCTCCGGACCGCACAGCCGACCTGGGCGGCTTGGTGCTGAAACAGCTGATGCGCGACTTCCCGGTGTGCACGTACCGCTTCCCGCCCGGCACGCTGCTGGCGCCTCGGCACCATGTCACGGTGCGCCCCGCTCCCCCAGCCCGCGAGGCCTGTCGCCCACCTGGGCGCCCCCTCACCCCTCGCTCCGCGCCGTTCCAGGTATGGGGCGAGGGTGCCGGCAGCACCAGGCATCAGCTGTGCCCGTCCTCGGGCCACCAGCCCGTGCACTTCCGTGGAGACAGCGGCCGCGTGACTCTCCTCCTAAGCCCCGGGGGCGAGGTCAGTGCAGGCCCACCTGGCGTGGGGGCTGGGTGGCTTGGGTGGTGAGGGTGACCCACGCGCTCTTGCAGGTCCTCAGTGAGCACCAGGTCCCGCGCTGCGTGGCTCCGGTCTCAGGGACCTTCGCCGACAACACCGACCTGTCCATCGACTGCTTCCCGCTCTCCAATACGCGCGAGGAGCCGCGCCGGCCTCGACCCCCGCGCAAGGCCCGGGTGCGGGAGGCCCGAGTCGGCCGCCGGAGGCCAGGGTGGGGACCCCCGGTCCCTCGGTCCCCGCCTCCTCTCCAGGCCCCGCCCCAGCAAAAACCGTCTTGGACTCCCTCCATAGGCTTCCGCTCCGCTAGGACCGCGGCCCTGGCCTGGTGCTGCCTAGGACCACCACCTCCCACCCAGGTCCGGCCCCGGCCGGTGCCCGCCCCCCGGTTCTCCAGGACGCCCCTCCGGCCCTCCTCCTCCCCAGGCCCGGTATTGCCAGGACCGCCTGTCGTGGACTGGCTGCGGCCCTCACGACGCCCTCGCCCCAACAGGACGCGGGGCACCTTGCCACTTACGAGCGCCCGCAAGTTCTTCCCCCGGCGGAAGGTACCGGTGCCACGCGAGGGCGCAGAGCCCCGGACGCCGGAGCTGCTGCCCGCCATCCCGGGTGGGCGCGGGGACGCGGAGGGAGGCGCGGGCCGGCGGGGAGGCGCGGGCAGGCCTGACCCACCCCACCACTGCCCCGCGCAGAGGCCGGGCCGGGCTTCGAGGACCGCCAGGTCCGGAAGGAGGCTAAGGTCCGGGTGAGTGAGCGCGCAGGGGTGCGGGCTGCGGGGTGCTCCTCTCGCCCGCCTCCTCCTCCGCCCCGTCCCACCTGGGGTCTGCCCCTCCCCGCCCACCTGGGGTCTTCGGCCCGCCCCCGCCCTCTCCACCTGGAGTCTTCGCCCCGCCCCTCCCGGCTCCCACCCTGCCCCTCCCTCTCCCTGCCCCTCCGGGCTCTTCGGCCCCGCGCGCTCTCAGGCCCCGCCCCCAGGTGTGCCGGAAGAGGGTGGACGCCGGCTGCCCGATGGTGGCGCTGTCCGTGCAAACCACGGCCGAGAGCAGATACGGCTTCCGCTTCCTCAGCTGCCTGCCGCTCACCGCGGACACGTGCCGGCGGGCCTAGGCGCGCGGGAGGCTCGGGAGGCGCGGGCTGGGCGGGCAGCGCTAGCTGCAAGCTTTATTGAACCAATGTCGCCCACAAAGTAAACCGCACTTAAGCACACCCGAGAGTCGGAAATGATTCACTTGATTTCTGGCTGCCCCATCCCTGCATGGGAACCCCACAAATCCTCGAAGGACCGAGTCCTGGCCACACCCGGGCTGTCTAAGGCAAACACCTCGGACCCAGGGGCAACTGGAGGGCCCTCGAGCAGAGGATGGACTCCCAGCCCCAGCTCCGGCCACCTGGGCCCTGGCCCAGCCCCAGCAGGGGAGGTCTCAGGACTGGGCCCCAGCCAGTCCTCCTGGGAAATCCTGGCCCCATGAAAGGGTGGGGATTGGACCCTCCCTACCCAGGGTAAAGCCAAGCCTGGGCCCTAACCTGGGCTCTGGCCTCTGGCCCCCTGGCTGCTCCCAAGACTCCACTCCCCTGGGGCCCTCTCCAGGGCCTGGCCCAGGCCCACCTCCTACCCCCCAACATGCCCAGATGCTCTGGTGTGTGGGGCCACAGGACCTCATGGGGGGCTCCTTGGCCCCAGTCCAGGCACGCTTGGCAGTGAGGGCGGGGTGGATGCTAAGGGTGAGATTGAGCAACAGGGTTCAGGTGCCGCCGGCACTGGAGGCCTGGGGGTCTTGCTGCTGGATCCGGTGCTGGCTTTGGGCCTGGACATCGCTGGGCTCCAGGGCTCAGGCCTGAGGCCACCTCCAGGGCTCTCAGGGCAGTCACCGCAGCCACCCCGTGGCCCAGGCCAGGCCCTAGGCTGTCCGGGGCTCTGAGCTGACGCCCCCTGAACAGGTCTGCAGACCTCCAGGGGGAGCTGCTACCTGAATCAGGTGGCACTGGGCATTTGGGCGGAGAAGGAGTCAGGTGGAAGCTCAAGGTCCTGGAAGGCCCTAGAAAGCAAAGAAAGGGACAGAATGTCCTAAAGGCTGCCAGACAAAGGACTTGCCAGGTGGAGGAGGTCTGCAGCCTGGGAGGTGGTGCCACAGGCAGAAAGGGCTGCAGGGTCCACTGTGGCCCCCTAACTCCAGCCCACTTCTGGACCAGGCAAAGAGGCCACGAGGCCTGGGCTCTGGCTTTGGGACACCTGGGTCCTGTCCCTGAGGGCCTGCTCACAGGCTGGTGGCCTCTGGCCAGTTCCTAAACCTCCGATAGAGAGCGAGGCTCCACCAGCACAGGGTAGCTGGTCCTGGCCCTCCAGTGCCCACCTGGACTGGCGTCTGGAGTAGGGGCCCGAGTCCCGCCTCACCACCACTCCGGCCCCTCCTCCTCCTGGCTGCCTGCCCTCAGCCCCTGCAGCCCTTGTCCACTACACAGCGCTACAGCCTCTGGCTCCTCTCTCTGCCCCCTCCCCAGATACCAGCCAGCACGTGGAAGGGCAGAGGCTCGGCCTGCCTGTGTCCTGTCTGTCCCGCCCCCGACGGCCCTCCTTGCAGTGCCCCACCCCAGGCTTGCCCACCACGCCGGGCGAGGGCCCTCTCTGCCTTGCAGCTGTGTTCAATCTTGAGCCAGTGTCCTCCAGAGAGAGCCCTGCCTGCTTAATCCTATGTCCCCAAGCCCAGCCACAGGTCCTGTCTTCAGGTGAGAGGACGGCGCCCTCCCTCCTCGGCCTCAAGTGGACCTGGCGGCCTCCCTCCGCCCGAGGCCTGGTGCCTGCCCCCGAGAACTGCCCAGCGGGCGTGTCTTGCTTGCCGGCACCTGGCCCTGGCTGGCTCACACACCTGGCTTGCTCCCTTCTCTGGAATGCCCTCTCTGGTGTCTAGCCCAGTGGTCTCACAGTCCCATGGCTCAGGGAGGGGAGACTTGGGATTGCCTTCCCGGGTTGTGAGCCCCCGACCCCCAGGGAGCACCTTTCTGTCAGCCCCTCTCAGAGCTGGCTGAGGAAGGGGGACTGGTCTGCGGTGGGGCCCCACACTGTGGAGGGACGGGAGTCACTCTCAGGCACTGGGGTGGGGCGGGCAGGCTCAGTACCTGAGGCCAGGCTCTGGGGGCTCTGGGGAGTCTTGGGCTCAGCCTGGTCGTCTTGCTCTTCAGGGGCCCTTCGTGGGCCCCAGGGGGCTGAAGCCCCTTCCTGCTGGGACCCCGGGTGCCTATAGGGGAGGGGTCAGGGTTGAGGGAGGAGAAGCTACAGCTCTGTCCCTTCTTGGAACCAACCCCAAATGAGTGGGGGACTCTAGGAGGGCCCACCAGCCTTAGGCTCCCATGACCAACTCCTCTGGCCATCCTGGGGACCAGTGACAGCTTAGCCAAGGCACCCCCAGCCCCAATCTGCCCACACCAGATGGGACACACAGGGGAGGGGAGCAGGGGCACCCACCCTAGGCCCAGCTCCCGCCAGGCCCGAAGCCTGGCCAAGTCCAGAAGGTCACAGCTGTCTGCAGGGTCAGGCTCTAAGGTAGAGGTGCTAGTGGCCAGATCTCCTGGCCTGTGCGGGGGCAGCTGCTCCGGGGGCACCCAGGCCTGAGGAGGAAGAGGGATGGCTTGGAAACCCCAACCCTGGAATGGCTATAGGGCAGGGCACTGTCAGGGCAGGAGCCCTGAGCAACTGGCCCGCCGTGGGGGCTGGAGCCCTGGCCTACTTCGGGGGGGTGGGGGAGGGCGTACCTGGCACTGGTGCCTACGCTCCCGCAGGCCTTTGGTGGGGTTCCCGCAGAGGACTTGGCCAGCACCTGAGGAAGATGGTGTGGCTGGGCCTGGGTTGGGGTCAAGGGGCTACAGGGTCAGCTTCAGGCCAGGCGGCAGTTACCATGAGTGAGTTTGCTGGCGCTGTCTGCCGGCGCTGGGTCCTCAGGAAGCAGACCTCGACGCAAGGGGCCCCCAGGGACCAGCAGGGAGAAGGGCCAGGGCCCGGGGGCCCGGGGCTGGGTCTCAGGCAGGGACAGCTCGGGGTCGAGTCTCTGCATGGGGGCTCCATGGAGACAATCTGCCGGAGGGTCAGAATCAGAGGTCACCAATCCCACACCAGACGGTCCACAGACCAGGGCCTGGACACCCAAGCTGTGTGCCCCAAGGCTGGCCTGTGACGTCCCTTCCTTCCAGATCGACCCTTGTGTTCAGAGCCTCCTTACCCACTGGGTGCTGCCCACAGGGACAGTGTCCTGGCCTGGGGGATGGGCACAGCTCTGCAGACCAGGGGTTAAGGCTGGAGGCCAGTGTGAGATGTGGCCCCCACGTCTCTCAAAGGCCTGGGGGGCTGGGGTGGTGATCTCTCCCTGGGGGACTGGGTGGAGACCTCCTCTGCAGTGGGGCGGGGGTGGGCGGGCTCAGCGGGAGCTGCCGCCTACCCAGCCAGGGGAGGACGCTGCCCTTCTGGATGGCCTCCTTCACCATGAGCCAGTCCTGGGTCAGCGTCAGGGCGGCAGGCGGGCCTGGGTGCGTGGCTGGCACCTCGTCTAGCACCTGCAGCTGGGGCACAAGCTTCTTCACCTCTGCCCTGTAGTTATAGTCCCTGGGCGCCTGCAGAGTGGAGGATAAGGGATGGCAGGCCTGGGGCTCCCTCCTCCAGGCCCACCGTGGGGCAGGGCAGGGAAGGCCTGTGCCGGGGCGTGTGGGTCTGTGTGCTGCACAGGGGTCTGTGGTGTGCTTGTGTGCCAGCTCCGAGCAGGGCACGCGCAGGCCTGTGATACTGCACGGGAGCGCATTCCCGCGTAGGGTGTGCACAGGCCTGCAGGGGCTGGAGGTGGTTTTGGACAGGACATTCACGGGCATGTTTGTATGTGTGTGCACATGTGTACGTGATTCTGTGGGTTGCATGTGGCATGTGTGTGGACCTCATGGGGTACGCACATGGACAGAGGGAAGTGGCATGTATGCATGCAGCCCCGTGGGGGGTGGTGGGCTGGCCCAGGAGGATGTGCTGGCAGTCAGACATCCAAAGACAGAAAGGGAGGAACTCATGGCGAACAAGCCGCAGGGCGCAGGTGGGCACAGAGGTCCCTGGCCCGTGAGAGGGCCCAGGGGCCAGAGCCACAGGAGCCTCCCCATCCTGCGCGCATGCTGGCAGGGTGCTTAGAACACACACCTTGTTGGAGGGGTCAGGAGCCGGCCGCAGGCACACCAGGTTCCCCTCTAGGGTGAGCGTGGCCAGCCGTGGGCACAGCTGCAGGTAGCGCACCTGCCCCAGGTCCTCCACACTGTTGCCCTCCAGGTCCAGCACCTCCAGCTGCTCCAGCAGGCACAGCGGGCTTAGGTCGGAGATGTCGTTGTAGGAGACGTAGAGTTCCTGGGCAGCGAGGGCCTCTCAGCCCGGGCCCGGCCTGGCCCAGCCCCCCAGCCCAGGGCACCCAGACCCACCTTCAGTGCTGGGAAGGAGCCGATGCCATCCAGGTCATTCAGACCGCAGCGAGCCAGCCATAGCACCTGCAGGTGGCCCAGAGAGGTGCCCAGGTCTCTGCAGAAGGCAGGGTTGGGTGGTCAGTGTGGGGGTTGGGTGGTCACTGTGGGGCTGGGGGTAGGCCCTCTGCCAAGCCCTGAGCTCGGCCCACCACCCGCACACGGCTGCCTCCAGGTGCAGGTCCCATGGTGGCCTCTAGGCTGAGGAAGGGCTCTCTGCCTTCTCCTTGCTGTGCCTCCTGGCCTCTGGCGTGGGGAGAATGCCCTCCACCTTTGCCACCCCCTGGAGGGCCCGGCCTGGGTGCTGCCCTCCCGCTCTGCAGGCGTCACAGCGTTTCTCACTGTGCTGTGGATCACTTGCTGGGCATTTGGCTTGGGAGTGGCCATGTGACAGCCTGGAAGCCTGAGCCGCCGGGGATGCTGGCGTGGAGGGGCTTCGGAGGGGGCGGGTCAGGCAGTGAGCTGGCTGCTTTGGCAGGACCAGTAGCTGGAGCTGGAGGTGGACCTGGGCGGCTTGACATCCCTGTGTGCAGGGACATACTGATCCTGCTGGGCCTGCCGTGTCTCTCCTGTGTGACCCTGCTGCAGCCACATGGAACTCCGCGGGTCCCTGAAGCACACAACAAGCGCTGCCATGCCCGGGGCCTGCGCCTGCTGTGTGGGCTGCCCGTCTGGCAGATGCCGCCACGCTGTCCCCTCGCTTCCTCCTTGTGAAAACACCATCCAGCTTCAGGCTTTCCACGAGAACCACAGATCTCTCCAGGGCTGGGTGACTCCCTCACGCCCTTCTCCAGCCCGCGAACCCCTCGGCTCCTGTCCCATCCGCTCTGGAGCCCGTCAGTTGAGGTTTTACGTTTCATTCCCACCTCTGTTTCAGTCTGTTCTTCCAATACACGGATTCGATGTTTAGCCCCAGTCTCCTGCCTTAAACGGCTTTTCCGGCCGTCTCTTAATTGTCTGGAACTTACACGCAGGGATTCTTCCAGAGCGGCTGAAGGAAACTCCTTGATCTCCAACTTGCTCTGTGCTCAGGCAGCCGTCTGGCTGGGTGTGAAGTTCTTGTTTAAGCCTCATTCCCGCCTGGCTGCGTAGGCACTGTTCACTGTCTTTTCCTGTCCAGCGCTTCTGTGAAGTCTGAGGAGAGCTTCACTGTTTTTGTCCTTAAAAGACAACTTGAGAGCTGGGTGTGGTGGCATGAGCCTGCAGTCCCAGCTACTCAGGAGGCTGAGGCAGGAGGATCGCTTGAGCCTCGGAGTTGGAGGCTGCTGTGAGCTATGATGATGCCCCTGCACTCCAGCCAGGGCCACAGAGTTAGACCCTGTCCCTAAAAAAATAAAATAAAAAATAAAACCCAACAGAACACTGTAAAACTCAAGTGCAGGAATATGTAAGTGTTCAGAAACAGCCAGGTGAGTCAGGGAGAAGGACAATGAGTATGAGGGAATCAGATACGAACACGTGTGACGGAGCTGAGCAGGTGGAGACAGGGCCGCTGCGGGGAGGGGTCTCGCGCACGTATCCACACGCACGTGTGGGCCTGGCGAACCGCAGAGACCGGACCCTCCTTAGTTGGGAAGTGGCGGCAGGCTCGGTCACTACGTGGCGGACAGCAAACCCAGGCCCCACCCTCGTGCGCCAATCAAAGGTGACTTTGCAGGTAGGTTTGGCTACAGGCCTGACAGGTCCGCAGTGACACCATAAAGCAAGTAGAAGAAAAGGCAGAATATCCCCCTGGCCTGGGGGTGTGGACCGGCTTCCTAAACAACACCCAAAGTGTCAGCGGGCACTGACGGATTGAGACAGACCGAATGAAGGGTCTGTTTAGGTGAAGGACACCCAAAGTGGACAGGAGGAGACTGAGCGGAGAGTCTCGCAACGTCTAAAATGCACCCGGAACACACAAAGAACTCCTGGAAATCAGAAACGACAGGATCCCCCAGAAAATGAGCGCAGGTTTTAGGGTACGAGGCTTGACATCCCTGGTAACGAGAGAAATGCAGGCAGTTAAGCTGTACGGAACTTGTCCATTCAGTTACGTTAACAGCTGCCAAATCAGAGTGATTTTCTGCGCTGGAGCCCTGGCCCAAGGGGACGGACGCACTCTGACCCTCGGCGCCTTTTCCCGCTGAGCCAGGGGCCGCTCGGTAACTCCAGCCCATGTGCTAGAACATTTCTCTTCACATCAGTGATGTCTTCAGGGGATGAATTCTCTCGGCTCCTGATGCACTGACAGCCACCACGTTGAAATGAGCTCCCAGCCTTTGCAATACTGCTTGAGATTTTAGCTCTGTGATAAGCTAAGCAGTTTATTGGATTGTCTCATTTAATTACATAGTT